CCTGTGTAAAACTAAGCGCTCATACCGCCGCACACATAGCATTTAACACAGCATGGGCCCACGTTTGCACATCTCAACACCTTACATTACTGTGCTCATCTGTGCAATTGCATTCCTGAGACAGCTGCAAGTTCCTGTCCACTTGTGCTCATGCACATCCCAGATAACTCTCTCTACTTCAATGTCACCACAATTACACAACACAGGCACGGTACCAAGGTCCGGTTTGCAGGCGTGAGGTAATAATTGGGTTGTATTTTATGGTTTATGTATTTTAAGATTGTGAGAAATAATAGCTCGGCTGAATAAATCATTCATACGTTTAGAGTGATTACCGGAGCGAGAAGAGGGGGGGAAGCTGGATCGCCCAAGATAGATTACCCATAATGCATTTCAAGAAGGCAACTAATTAGCAGAAGAAAGGTCAAGTAAAACCAGAAAGTGATTAGAGAGAGGAGACAGAAAAAGAGAAAAGAGAGAGCGAGCAAGCGAGAGATGTTCGCATCTCACATACATTTAGTCACTTTTGGAATGTGGCCAAATTTTTTCCCCCACCTCGATAACTGAAAGCAGTCGCTTCAATATTTAATGAAATGCTTATGTTGTGGCACCTGGACACATCCGCATCCACAGCGACCCGCTGCCTCCCAAGTGGGTCATTACTGTAGCCATTTGCAAAGGGCACGGGCCTCTCTCCGCCAGCAATGATGCCAGTCTTCGGGAATCTGCCGCAAAACAGCAGGGGACGTGGGGGCGGTGCCGTACTCAACTACCGGGAGGACGGAGTACCGCTGCAGAGGAGAAAAAAGGCAACAACAACAGCCCAACGTTGCACCCAGAGCAAAACTACTCCCACTGAGCCATGCTACGCTACAGCCCGCAGCCAGGCTTCTGCTGCCTTCTACGCCCAGAGATTACAGCACACTGCCAGCGCAGGCACGGCGGACGCATTTCTTCTGGCGCATCTCTCCTGTCAACAGCGAAAACACAGCTTTGCGCTGGCACCATCCGCTAAGCGCCCCTACTCCCCCTTAATGCTCCAATGCATCAATACCTTCAGCCATCAACGGGGAGCAGATGTCCTCCGTTACCGTATCCTTGGCCGGGATTGGGAGCGCTGCATTAGTCTCCAGGTCCAGGATGGCTGTCTCACCGTGGCCCGCCACCCGCTTCCACTGGCAGGTGATCCCGGGGCCTAATGGAATTTAATTACTTCAGCCACATTAATCATGGCTACAGTGGAACAGCCACTATTTCATCTCCACTCTTAGGGGTTATTAGTACAAATACACTGTCAAACTGCATTGTGGAAGTGGCATTTTAGGTGTCATCACCTGTACATTTATTAAAATCTATATCAATATCTTTCAGCGGACACTGCTCTCACCACCCCCCTCCTCGGTCGTCTCCCGTGCACATTAGGGTTTCAGACAAAGTTTCCTGGCATGAAGTGACACCGGTCTGAGAAACTTTTCCTTCATTAATTCTTTCCTGCCACTCCTGCCCGTCTTTCGACGATTGATTGGACGTGGCTGGCAAGGACAGCGGAGCAGCGCTTCAAGACAACACTCTGAAATAGAGACTTCATGCCCTGACTCGATGCAGGTGTCAAAAGCATTACTCAATTCATTATATTATTAATGGTCCGATGGTCACAAGCGTGACCATTTTTTTTTTTCACAACAGTAACGTTTCATAGATAAAACCTGGCAAAGTATACTTGGCTAAAATATCTATTGTTGTTTTTCACCAGCAAAACAAAAATTTTAAAAAACTCTAAAAAAAAAATTTAGGAAATGTATTTATTTATTTTTTATTTTATTATTATAATTTTTTTTTTACAACAGTCGTATAGTTAAAAAGTTTAATTGATGTTGTCCAGCTATTAATTATCCCCCCCCCAGGAAAGAATTGTATTTATCCACCCATTAGTACAGTGAAGTTTATCTCTTCAGTTTGTCATTTTAAAGAATCGGCTACTCAAATAAGAGTTTCATTCTTTAAAGAAGCTAAAATTGAAACAGTATATGACTTGAATACTGCATAGCAGTATCAACTCTACCACCTTAACATACCCAAACTAAAATAGCACTTTACACACACATTTATTTCTAAAATCACTCAGCCAAGGATCAGGTGCTGGTTTGTTCTGATTTAATTATTATTTCTAGCCTTGAAATAAAAATCAATAGGTAGATTCCCTGAGCCCTCGTTATCCTGTTTCATGTATTTCATAGTAAAAATAAAAAGCCACAATAGTAATATGTGGAATTTGAGACCTGCTGCTCTGAACACTCGAAGGTCAGGGAAATTAATTTTACTGACTGTGGAGGTGAGGAAAGGAAAAAAGGTGAAACCACAATAAAAACTCCTGCTATACAAAATATTTCAACAGCAGGTAATTCAGCATTCGCTGTTCCATACGTTTCAATATTTCCTAATGCAAGTCTCACATGAGGATTTGATCACACTGCAACAGCTGAATTAGAGAGACCTGCAATAAGAAATTCACCTCATTAAAAAAACCTTAACCTCCCGCATTCTCCACCAACTTCCAGGTTTTGTTTTATGTGACAACCTCATTTAAATGCATATCTTTTCCATACCTGAAGAATTTCAAACATGCTATTTTGTTGCACCAATTTAATAAATATACCAATAGACATCGCAGCAAAAAGTTCACTCAAGATACAACTAAAATCAATCCCAAATCAGGTTTGAATCAGGCAATATAGTAGTTCTACAGCAAAAAAAAAAAACATGTATGCATTCAAAGCAAATGATGAGAAACTGCCTAAAGCTTTGCTTTGATGAGGATACACCTATCAATAAAAACATAATAGATCTGGATCAGAGAGCTTGTTAGCTCGCTCACAACCACACTAGAACCCTATAGCACTGACAAAAGAAAGTAGGCGCTTTTAACAAAGGCATATGAATAGTGAGGTCTTGAGCTCTGGGCTATATAGATTACTATATGATTACTAGAGCCTATGCTTGCGCATGCGTGATGTTATGTGTGTGTGTGAAGGATGGCTGTATGATTTCTCTCCAGTCCTATTCAGAGACGAAATGGGCCCTGCATACTTGCAAATGACTGGGAAATATGCAAGTAATTTACCGTTAAATTCCATAACAGGAAAACCTAATTGTACAGCATGTCCAGCCTAATTGAATTGTTCTACAAGTGCATTACTGTTATGGAAATAATACTGACAGGAGTGATAAGAGATTGAACGGAAGACACTGAATGGAGAATAAAACTATTAGGCTAAAAGAAAAAAGAAAAAAATCATACACAGAAAGCAATTCAGTGACGTGTAAAACAGGATCAAAATGTAAAATGAACAAATGATTATAAATTAACAATAGTAATACTACTAATAATTATTATGTCCATGCATGCACTAAAAATAAACAACAACAATTAAAATAATAATAAATGCTTCCAAATTAGAAGCATTAAAAATCACATTGGCTACTCATCCAATCTGATGTTTCAACTTACATGTTTTTACAAGCTACATATTTACACAAAAAAATGCTGTTTGCAATGTAAATAAAACACTAAATAACATGCTCATTTGTCAAAAATCCAAAAACAGCTTGATGCACCCACAAAAATGCCCTTTTGCTTGCCTAGACTGAAAAAGCCGCCCTCTGCTGGTCAGAGACTGAAGTGCAGTTGACCCTTCTACAGTTTTCCTGCAGTGGCCTCTGTCAACTAACAAAAGCAGCCGTGTGTCAAAACAGGCTGTCAATTTCGTAAAAGAAATTGACGTGAAATGCAGGATGCGCTGAGCAAACACATAAAGAAAATTTGCATCCACGCTTGTGTGCACCAAACACATTCAGCCAGTAAATACATGCTGCCAAGCCTTTCTTGCAAACAAAAAGTACACAGATACATACATTTGCACGTGTGCACTTATGCACTTTTGATGCAAAGGGGCGCATGTGCTTTATTGTATCAAGCTGGAAGCAAGCAACAAAACAATCTTGCGATAATAATTTTGCTGTGAATATTAGCCTTCGTTTGATTGATGCAAAGAACACGTGCAGTTATATTGAAAAGCTCACGAGTGATAATGTCGAGATGGGAACGTAATATCACCAGTGTTTCCAAGAACTGCTAAATGTTACACTGACTAAAAAATAAAAAAAAATCTCATTAAATCACATCACTCTTAAACACCGGAACTGCCTAAATATAATGAACCTTATGATCTCAAGCTACAGTATCTCTTTGACAGCAGGTTGTTTCAGCAATGATAGGTTAATGTAATTTCTCTTTTGTTTCATTCAGTCATCATGGAGGAGATGTCCTTCCATGATGACACGCCGATGGTGAGCAACTTCATTTCAGCCCCGGAATATCTCACGCATGTGACAACAACCTTCCTTTGTTGCCAAGAGTGTTGAACTGCTTTGAACTGCCGACTGACAGAATAGGGAAGCCATTCCAAACGCAAATGTAAATTATTGTTACTTACACGTTTAACCCTCTAGACACTATTCTGTCCTCATATGTGGAGGAATTCTGAAATCATGTTGCCCTCTTTTGGCTGGCATGTGCGACTGCAGATTCTTTCCTCACATAATTACAACTGCTTGAAAATGGGCAGGTGTTTAAAAAGGATAAAGGTGTGATATCTTGATAAGACGTTGAAGAATGTAAAATATGAATGTGAGATATTTGAAAATCAGATATGACAATGTTACAAATATAAAGGAAATGACCATGCAGTTTCCTCACGCAGTATGGTACAAAAACATAAATGACTGGATTTGATAGATGAATTAAACTGCAATGACCTGCAAAAAAACCTGTAACAGAAACCCTGTAAAAGAAAGTCAAACAACGTAAAAAAAATAGTGACCTGTACTCATCACACTAGGCCAAACAACCCTGTAAATGTCTATTAATGAATATTTCCTTTTCATACTAGCTCTATTCTCAACACATTTCCTCCTGTGCTTTCGTCTCATTTCGTACTCACTCGCTTTCTCTGCCTTCCTCTCCCTCACTCCTCCTCAGACCTGCGGGTCACTCCAGCAGGAACAGGAAGTATCTGTCCTCCTTTCCAGAGCTCACCCCTTTGTCAGTTTCCCCAGCATTCCAGTCTTTGATTTCCCACTCGTCTGCAAAGATAAGAAACAAACCCCAGCAATGGGAACTTACAGTGAATATCCTTTTCAGCCTCCACACCTACTATCTGTTTTGCTTTCTCTTTTTTTTCCTCCCTCGTTCATCTCTGAGCTCGGGGAAAGTGAAGAGGTGGGTAGTTTATTCAGTAATATTCAGAACGGTTGATCTAAATAAAGATGCTCTTCAAATTCCTGTGTATGTCTAATGGTCTATCATTGAGGGAGGATTACTGATCTGATTTAAACGGCTAAACAATGCTGAGTGGAAAGGAGGAGTGGAAAGAGAACTTTTGTGGTGACAGATGCACTATCGAGAATTTCAGTGGCTCATATTTCAAGCTGGTGAAATAGAGTTGTTTAAACGGCCTGTAGTGTCCAATATATAGCGGTAAATAAACGGTAAGAGCTTGGTGATAAGCAACCCTCCCCACACTCTCTCCTCGCAGCTGAATCGATACGGCCTGTGCAGCATATCATTCATCTCATAAGTATAATAAATAGTTGTGTTATTAATCTCATCTTTATACAGGGGTAATATGATAGTTAATTCAGCTCAGTTGAAATGAATGGAAATAAGTTAATCACAAACGCATCACTTAGGAAAATCAATTCGGGCGAGATATTCTAATAACAATACATATAGGCAACGAGCGCTAATTCCATTATGCATAGAAAGCAATATTTCACTCCGTTATTCTGACTAACGCATAAATGGAATATTTCACACTCTTTTCTTCAGTGAAAACAATATAGATTTTGATTTGCTTGCGAACAATTTTAATAAAAAGCTATTGATGGGATATTGATTGGTTAGCTCACAGCACAGCTCGTGGGCCCAGTGTGCAACAATCATTACACGCCATGCTTTTGGGTTCATTTCAACTCATATGGTCAATAAAGACTCCATATGCTCTTGGCCCTTTGAACACGTCGGGATGCTTTTTCCACAGCATCCTTTAAATCAAACTCTACTGTCAGGATGAGCCAGAAGAAATACTCAAATGTAGCAATGCTCCAACATCCCACTGACCATGAATCAAGATTATGCTGAAACACAAACATGTCGGACAAATTGATACTTTATATCAGTCTAATATAAAATAGAAAAAAAGAGTTATTATGTGTTGGCAGTGCACTATGATTTCCACCATCACTGAAACTTTAGTAGTACATAAGTAAACTGAATTTAAAATTGGCCAGGGTTTCAAGTCTTTTCAGCTTTAATTTTCCAGGAATCACTTTTATGCTGTAGTTTCAAAATTTGTGGCATCCCTAAAGGCTCGCTGAGTGGTTCCTTGACTGCTTTCCCATCTGTACCTTAAGAATGTGATCTCTGCACTCCAAAATCTTATTTATCTCTGTGTCACTTTGTAAAATCTTTATTAGTGTGAACATATCTTTTAAATGTGAGAGCCACTGGAGTAACGGCAATAAAAGGCTGGAGAGGGATCAATGCTGAACGCATTACGCCTCAGCACAGAGACTTGGCTTTAATAATCAAAAAATTGATCCATTAAGCTCAGCCTAATTCTTTGCCAAAACGGGAGCGGTGCTCAGTTTTCAACACATGGTTATATGAAGAATTGCAATTTTTCACTGAGACTCTGGTCTAATGACACAATATTGAAGACAGACAGACAGACAGACAGACAGACAGACAGACAGACAGACAGACAGACAGACAGACAGACAGACAGACAGACAGACAGACAGACAGACAGACAGACAGACAGACAGACAGACAGACAGACAGACAGACAGACAGACAGACAGACAGACAGACAGACAGACAGACAGACAGACAGACAGACAGACAGACAGACAGATAGATAGATAGATAGATAGATAGATAGATATATAGATACATAGATAGATAGATACATAGATAGATAGATCAGTTAAGAGCCATCATTCATGTAAAGAATAAAGATTGTTATAACTTTTTTTTTTTCTTGAAGTGACCTAACATTTACCGAGCCCTTCTAACATGACTGTGATCATTCTCCACACACACTTCAAAGGTTACCGGATGTGCCCAATACAAAGCTGTAAGTGAGAGTTCCATTTTTGACACTAGGATTTACCAAAAAAGATGAAACCTTATCCATGCCATTCTGATGAGCTGGAGCATGTGTGTCAATTCCACAGTGTAGGAGCAAACAGCAAAGTTTAAGAGAGCAGATGATAGGGGGAAGTGGATGAAAAGGAGCACAAAGGAGGTAAACAACCAAAACCCTCTGAAACAAGACCCGTGGCAGAGTCGTTTGGACCTCGGTGGATGTGCAGGTCGAGCATCACAGCGCAGAGACGCTTCCTCTGCGCCGTGTCCCTGGGCTGCCGCTGCAACTCAACACCAGCGATATCGATCGGACTCCTAAGCCTCCACCAACCTGGTCAAACCCGAGTCCTTTCTGATATTTACCCACTAAAGTATTCCCTTCTGCTAGCACTGCCAACCCACAAGACATGGAGGGAGAAAAAAAGTCAATTATATACAACGTGCTTGGTTTCCCCTCAAGGATGGAATCCACCCTTTCTAATCCGATCAATTCATGTCAGACAGGAGGCTGGATTCAGCGCTATCTCTGAAGTCCTGTAATCCAGGCTAAGTCTTCACACTGCCTGCCTCACCTCCACAAGAAAAGGGTTTGGTCCAGAGCGTGATACAGCAAATTAGCCGTAGTGTGCATTCAGACACACTGCAGTGGATGGGTGCCAGTGCGCTAACAGCTAAGCATAATTGGATAAGCAATTCAGCTAATTCCTATAGTCAATTCTACAGTTGGCACATACAATATAGGGGGACTGGGGCTAGTTGCCACACTTTTTATTTTCCTTTTATTTTTGAAAGTCAATTTCTATATTAGCAGGTGTGTTGAAACACATAAAACAATAAAAAAAAATGATATGCCATTTCATAATAACATAAACAGCAATACAGAAAAAAATAAGTATTTTGAAGAATTAAGGCATTTTTAAGTATTTTTGAAAGTCAATTTCAATAATAGCAGGCACACTGAAATTAAACAATATAAAATATATA